GCACACATCAACAGAGTAAGCCTGTCTTTCATAGGCTTATGTCCTGGGAGTGCCTTTTCCTCCTGAGTAATGTACGTCCTGTTTGGCATTTTCTTCCAAAACAGGCCTGTTTCGTCACAATTAAACACTTGTTCAGGTTTCAGTCCTTCACTGTCTATGTACTCCTTGAATTCCTGCACATATTTTTCAGCCGCTTTGTGGTCCGAACTGACAGCCTCACCATGCCTTATCACACTATGTATGCCACTACGATTCTTAAATCTCTCAAACCAACCTTTGCTGGCCTTAAATTCACTCACATCATCACTAGCTGCAGTCATTTTTCTAATTAAATCGTCATACAACTTCCTAGCCTTTTTACATATGATCGCTTGAGAGATGCTATCTCCTGCTATCTGTTTTTCGTTTATCCACACCAATAACAGTCTCTCAACATCTTCTATCACTTGCGATCTCTGTTTCGAAAACAAAGTTGCACCTTTGGCAAGAACAGCTTCCTTGATTGCCGTTTCCTTGGCCACAATAGTAGCAATGGTTGATTGGGGTTTTGTGTACAACCTGGCCAGCTCGGAGACACGCACTCCACTTTCATACTTAGCAATGATCTCTTTCTTCATATCCGTAGTAATTCTCACTTTTTTTGCTGTAGGGTTGGCTCTAGAAGCTTTCTTGGGGCCCATGGTGACTTATTTTGCAGGTGCAATCACTAAAAAGGCTGTGATAATATGAAATGTTCCGATTGTATGCTTGGAAGTGACCGTGGTGGCTGGCTTGTAAACACTGGCACCCAAGGAACAAGTGAGGCGGGCTCAGGCCACGCGTGGACCGCGTTGAGCGAGTTTTTTAGCACTAGCCGAGGCAAAATTTTTGCGTTAAAATGTATCGCTAGGCGGATTTAACATTATGAGATGAGTTCGTTAGGCAAGGTTCCACTGTACAGTGCAAAGCCGCTGTTCTAAACGAAAAACACTGTCAAAGTTTTTTTTCTCGTTATGCACTGTGTGCTGCAGAAATTTTTTTATACTGCGCACACTTACCACATAGACCCATTCTTTCATATGTAGGCCTACCAGCTTTCTCTCACTAGATTTGAGGGCGCTAGAATTTAGGCGTACTAGTACGTCACAAACCCTGGTGCATAAGCCGTACTAGTACATCAGAAACCCTGAAAGGATTAAAGTTCTGTATATGTAGTAGGCACAATAATAAGAGTGTATGTCTTGTATACTTAGCAAGTTGAGTCTTTTGAAAAGTGGCAGGGTGCGCTGTCTAGCACAGGAGCTGGTTATCATCTGCACAGCAGCTTTTTGTTGGATTATTAAGGGTCTAAGGTGGTTGGCTGTGGTTGAGCCCCAGGCACAGATACCATAGGTGAGGTAAGGATATATTAGAGTGTGGTACAGGGTAAGGAGAGTCATTTGTGGTATATAGTAGCATATCTTGGAAAGGATTCCTACTGATTTGGAAATTTTCTTGGCTATGTGATGGGTATGGGACTGATATTTAAGATTACAGTCAAGGAGAAGACCTAGAAATTTGCCCTGTGTGTGTCTTGATACAGGGGAACCATTTAACAGTATGTTGAGTTGAATATTTGAGGCTCTGTTGCCAAACAGCATGAAGTAAGTTTTCTTTATGTTGAGTGAGAGTTTGTTGGTCATCATCCAATCATATATCTTCAGAAGTTCATTGTTTACAGTGTTTTCAAGCACAGCTGGGTCTGAATGGGAGTAGACATATGTAGTGTCATCTGCGAATAGAACTGGTGTAAGGAGTTGGGATGCATTGGGGAGATCATTGATGTAGATGAGAAAGAGGAGTGGGCCTAGGACATTACCTTGGGATACTCCTAAAATTACAGGCTGGATAGCAGAGTTGACTCCATTTGTATGTACATACTGGTGTCTGTCGTTAAGATAGGATTTTAGGTAGTCAAGAGAATGTCCTCTTATGCCGTAATGATTCAGTTTGAGGTGCAAGAGATTGTGGTCAACTGTGTCAAACGCTTTTCTTAGGTCGATCAAGAGCCCCAGGGGATGATCATTCTTATTGAGAGCTGTGTATATTAGGTCAAGCATTTGTATAATAGCATCATTCGTGCTTTTTTTGGGGTCTAAATCCAAACTGGCATGGGTTAAGTATGTTGTTGGATGTAAGGTAGGAGTAAAGTCGCTTGTATATTATTTTTTCAAATATCTTGGATAGTAGGGGCAAGTTTGATATGGGTCTGTAATTGTTCAAATCAGTTGGATCTCCACCTTTGTGGATTGGGGTGACCCTTGCTGTCTTGAATATGGATGGGAAGGTTCAGGAAGCTATAATTTTGTTAAATATTGTTGCAATAATGGGCGACAGTTCTGGTGCAGTTTTTTTATATATGAATGGCGGCATGTTATCTAGGTCACCTGATTTATTTTTTAATGATTTAATGATGAGTGAGACTTCAGTGGGATTAGTTGGAGCTAGAAATAGAGTATTTGAACAGTCGCCAGTGAGGTACTCGCTCGGATAGGTATTTGAGCTAGGAATTTGATCCGCTAGCTTTGATCCTACAGTAAAGAAGAAGACATTAAATTTGTCGGCCGTGTCTATAGGTTGCATGTGAGGTTCATCTGGTTTAGTTAAGTCTCTCTCTCTATTTCCAGTTGGTTTCCTTGAGCCCAAAATTTTGGAGAGGGTTTGCCAGGTACTTTTCATGTCACCTTTCATTTCACTAAATCTATTTTCATAATACATTTGCTTTGATTTACCTATTAGTTTTGTTAGTATTGATGTGTATCTTTTAGTAAATTCTTTAGTAATTAACCCTAATCTGAACTGCTTTTCAAGTTGGTGTTTTTTATTAATAGATCTGAGGATACTTCTAGTTAGCCATGGGCTGTTTAGCCTCTTTTTTGTGATCTGTTTCGTTTTTATTAGGCAATGTTTGTTGTAGAGGTTTAGGGTTTTATGTAAAAAATTTTTTATATCTTTATCGATATTATTACTGTCATCTAGCTCTCTCTGCCAATCAATGGCACCTAGAGCTAGTTTTAGGTTGTTTATCGATGTTTCATCATGCAGGCGAAATGAGATCTTCCTTGTTTCTTGAGGCAGTTTAGATAAGTTGGTTATGAGGAAGGTAGGATAGTGGTCTGTGGTGTTATCTGTGATTATACCTGCTTGTAGTGAGGATATTATATTGGTCCAGATATGGTCGAGTAACGAGGCACTAGTGTCAGAGATTCTTGTTGGCTTTGTTATAGTGGGTAGCAATAAGCTGTTGTTCAAAGCATTTGTGAAATCAACTACTGGAGGGTCAGTTGCTTGGATAAGGTTGATGTTGAAATCTCCTGCTAGTATCAGATGGTGTTTATTCAACCCTGACTCAATTATGATGTTTCTAAGGTTATTGCTAAAAGTGTAAGTGTTTGAGTGTGGTAATCTGTAGACTGCACCAACTGCTATAGATTTCTTAAGTGTTCTTGATGCGAATTTAGTTATTATATATTCACCGTTTTCGTCCCGTACATTAGTTGATTTCACACATTCTAGTTCATCAGAGTAATAGATGGCAGTGCCTCCTCCTGATTGGTCGGGCCTACAGCTATGTATGGCTGTGTAACCAGGTATGATAAATATGTCTTGTCAGATCTTTCAGTAAGTATAATGAAAGTTATAGTAGCATTTACAGACTTAAGTAGTGCAATGAGGTCATCATAGTGTTTACTCAATGATCTAACATTGTAGTTGAAAACTGTAATGTTCTTGCTGACACTGAGAAGTGTATTAACCTGACTAGCAGTGTAGTAATGGCAATTACTGTTTGGACTGTGTGTGCTGTTCAATAAGAGGTTGATATCAGGATCGATGCTTTCATTCATAAGGGGTACGTAGAGAAATAGCCATTACAATTATTAAAGAACAAAAAGACCAAAGCAATGATGTTAAACCACTAACAATTATGAACTTATGAACTAAGATAGTTAAACCACTACCAATTATGAACTTATGAACTAAGATAGTTAATTTAAATCTAGAAAATAATGGAGCTACCGAATATTAAAATAAAACATTTTAGCACCTTGATTATTTCAAAGTTAAAAGCTATGGTTTCAAGTATAAAATAAGACAGAGAATAAAACACTTAAGTACCCTGGCTGGAGGGGGTAAAGGAGGCTTTGTGGGCGAGGGGCTTGGACTTCCAGCAAGCATGTATGAATGTGTTAGACAGGAGTGAATGGAGACAAATAGTTTTTGGGACCTGACGAACTGTTGGAGTGTGAGCATGGTAATATTTTGCGAAGGGATTCAGGGAAACCGGTTAGCTGGCCTTGAGTCCTGGAAATGGGAAGTACAATGTCTGCACTTTAAAGGAGGGGTTTAGGACAGCGGCAGCTTGGGGGGACATCTAAGCTCTCGTATCCGAGTGCTTCTGCAAAGACAGTGATTATGTATGAGCGATGATGAAAGTTTTTCCTTTCTGTTTGGGTTTTTCTTTCTTTTTAGATCACCCTACCTCAGTGGGAAACAGCTGATATGTTGAAAAAAAATATATAAAATATGAAATAACTTTAAAACACTTGAAATTTCGTAAAGTTTCCAGACATAATGGAGAGACGTAGAGCTCACAGAGAATGTAAACAAACCAGGTGTCGCACAGTGACCGTATTAGTGTGTCAGGTGAGGGGGAGGCTGTATAGCGAGTTTTGGTCATAATTTTAAATGCCCGTATTAGCGGAACGCCGTAAAGCGAAATGCTGTAAAGCGGGGTCCTATTGTATGCAACAATATACACAATACATTAGCTATAAATATTGTTCTACTTCTTTAACTAAGTTGTATACACACTTACAATATAAGCAGGTGTTCAAGTGATTAGTTGAATCACTCATTTTCTTTGTTCTACATTTACAGTAACAGAAAATACCAACTTACTGTTTTTGGTAATGTTGTTTAACCTTACTGTATTCACTGATTATTCATCTAGCAAAGATACTGAAGAGAAAAATATGACCAACTTGTATCTCCTTCGGCTTGGAATGGATCTTCTCAGCAAAAGCAGAGTGTGTGTGCTGGGGTTCAAGGATGAAGTAGTTGGCTGCATCTGAGTGGTACACAGCTGATATGGCATCCAGAACCACAGAGCAGAGGTTAGAAGTTGTACCTCTCAGGAAGACTGACTGAAGCACATTGAATGCTTGCACATTCCTCACACTAGCACCTGTTAGCACATCATACATGCTCAGTTAATCTAACCACTACCACACAATAAAATTTACAAAAGTTAATTGGAATATAACATATATTGTAACAAAAATATATATGTTAAGAATTGACATCCTTAAAATAGTCATTTATTCAGTGCCTGGACTACTACTGTTATACATCCAACACATCTCTCAGTATCTAGACTACCACTGTTATACATCCAACACATCTTTCAGTGTGGAAATGGTATAAAATACCGACACAATGGAAAAACAAATACATTAGTAGTATAATGTGATCCTTTATTGACAACGTTTTGCCCACACAGTGGACTTTATCAAGTCACAAACAGATCTACCTGGGTAAAAGGTACATGAGTATTTATAGAATGGAGTCAGGTGGAGAATGCTGGGTAGGCTGGATCTGATCCTGCATGTGACACTCTTCCAAGAAGGGTGATAGAGTCTAGGACCTTGGGCAGCTTTAAAAAGAGATTGGACAAATATATGGGTAGACCTTCTGCAGTGTTCCTCCATTCTTATGTTCTTATGTGGGATAACGATGAAGAAGTTTCTTGGCGAGGGGTTCAGCTATGTTACAGAAGTCGTTATTTTGGTTGAAGTTGTTGGATATACAGATGGAAAAATGAACACACAAGCATTCTCCACCTGACTCCATCCTCTAAATACTCGTGCACCTTTCACCCAGGTAGATCTGTTTGTGACTTGATAAAGCCCACTGTGTGGGCAAAACATTGTTAATAAAGGATCACATTATACTGCGTCTGTGTTTATTTTTCCATTCTGTTGGTATTTTAAACCATTTATTTCCATGGATATACAGATTAATGATGATTCCAGGATTTTATCACCCTACTCGGAAGATTGCCACATGCAGGATCAGATCCAACCTACCCAGCATTCTCCACCTGACTCCATTCTATAAATACTCACATACCTTTCACCCAGGTAGATCTATCTGTGACTTGATAAAGCCCACTGTGTGGGCATAATGCTGTCAAGAAAGGATCACATTATACTGCTTATGTGTTTACTTTTCCACACCTCTCAGTGTCTGGACTACCACTGTCACATGTCCAACACATGCCTAAACATAACAACATAAGAAAAGAGCACTGCAATAGACATGCTAGGCAGGTCCAACTTTCATCTACCCACACCTACTCATATACTTGTCTAACCTACTTTCAAAGTTACCCAAGGCATTCAGTTCAATGACAATAAATGAACTTGAAACATATATAGATATGAATGAATGTATAAATAATTTTCTACAAAAAAGCCCAATGCCTCTATAACAGACAATGCCAAGAAAAACTGAACAGATTACAGCAAAGAGACTGAATAATCCCTGGCTAACACCAAGCATCCTCAAATCCATTAACACAAAGCACAAATATGAAAAACAGTATAGAATGGGTCAAATAACTAGAGAACAATCGAAAAGTTACTTGTCAGCACTTACCAGCCTGATAAGGTCAAAAAAATTGTATTATGAAAATAGATTACATAACATCAAAGGTGATATGAAAAAACCTTGGAACTAAAAAGCTATCCAAAAACAAAGCTATCAAACTAACAAAATCATGAGCCACTACTCACTCCAACCGAAACAGCAAACAGACTTAATGTTTTCTTCTCCACCATAGGAAAAAATCTAGCAAACAAAATACCAAGCACAAACACCCGTCCATCAGGCTACCTTATAGGTACCTACCCAAATACGCTATTCCTAGCTCCAATCAACCCCATTGAAGTTACGCTCATCATAAACACCCTTAAAAATAAGGCAAGAGACATAAACAACTTGCCTGCTTTTATGTACAAAAAAACTTCTCAAGTATTGTCACCAATTACATATTGCAACACTCTTTAATAACAAATCCACTGAATCATCTACCTTCCCAACAATCCTCAAAATAGCGAGGGTCACTCCGATCCATAAAGGAGGTGATCAAGCTGATTTGAATAACTATAGACCAATATCTAACTTACCACTGCTCTCTAAAATCTTTGAAAAATTAATTCATCGAAGGATCTATTCCTACCTCGTTTCACACAACACATTAAACCCTTGTCAGTTTGGATTCAGGAATAATAAAAGCACAAATGATGCTATCATACACATGCTAGAACTAATATATACCGCACTTGAAAAGAAAGAAGTCACGCTGGGCATTTTCATTCATTTACGTAAAGCTTTTGATACAGTCGACCATGAACTGCTGTACTCCAAATTAACGCACTATGGTATCAGAGGCCACTCCCTCAACTACCTAAAGTCATACCTTAGTAACAGAACTCAATATGTGTATGCAAATGATGCAAACTCTTCCACCCAACCAATCACAGTAGGAGTCCAACAAGGAAGCATCCTTGGACCACTCCTCTTTCTCATCTACATCAATAATCTACCGAATGCATCACAGCTACTCAAACCCATATTATTTGCAGATGACACTACATACGTCTTTTCCCACCCAAACACAGTCATACTAGCAAACACAGTCAATGTTGAATTACAGAAAATATCTGCTTGGATGATGACTAACAAACTTACCCTGAACACTGATAAAACCTATTTCATTCAGTTTGGAAACAAAGCTGCAAATGATCCAATTAACATAATGCTAAATGGATCATCAGTCACAAGACTCACAGAGGGAAAATTCCTAGGTATCCACCTTGACAGTACCCTTAAGTTCCAGACACACATACAACAAATCACCAAGAAAATCTCCAAGACTGGAGGCATACTATCAAACATAAGGTACTACGTTCCACAATCAGCTCTCCTGGCACTGTACCATTCACTCAGTATACCCTTATCTTACATATGGAATTTGTGCATGGGGATCAACAACATCCAATCACCTAAAACCCCTAATAACCCAGCAAAAGGCAGCAGTAAGAATGATAACAAATTCCCACTCTCGCCAGCATACTCCACCAATTTTCAAGTCTAAATCTGCTCACCGTTAAGAACATCCATACTTATTCATGTGCCTACTACATACACAGAACAATACACGCAAATATAAACCCCCCAATCAAACTTCTCCTCACCAACCTGAACAGGACACATGACCACAACACAAGACACAGATCTCTTTTTGATATACCTCGTGTCCATATCACACAGTGTAAAAACTCTATGCACATAAAGGGCCCCAAAATATGGAATTCATTACCAAAAGATATTAAAGTAACCCAGTCTGAAAATCAATTTAAGACTCTTCTCAGAAGCCACTTAATCACCCTAGACTAAATGCTAAATACTCAGTACACACTTACTCACCTATGTACTCCCACATCATAACTGAAACAATCACTTTGAACCTTTTATCCACTGTTGACAGGAATATAATTGAATCATTGTTTTCACAAAAGCATTTTAGAATATAAATATATCTTTGTATTATACAAAATTTGATTCATTTATAATTAATATTCTACTGTACAACTATGAAATAATTACTATCCTACTGTACAACTATGATATACTCCTTAGTGTTAAGTAGACTGTAAGCCAATAATGTTAAGTTGGCCCATAATGCCAAGGCATAATAGAGGCTCACTTTGCATTGCAACCCACTATTGTAAATACAAAATCTCAATGTACTGTTTGCAAAGACATAAAATAAATAAATAAATACTCTGGAGGGTGTTCCACTCATCCATAACTCTATTACCAAAATATTGCTTTCCTATATCTTTTCTAATTCTAATTCAAACTTAAACCCACTGCTGAGAGTCCTGTCTCAGTATTTATTCCTTTATTTATTCCTATCCTCCATTTATACATCTCAATCATGTCCCCCCTAATTCTACGCCTTTCCAAAGTGTAGATTCTGTGTCCTCAGTCTATACTCGTATGAAATATTTCTGATACATGCAATCAACTTTATCGTCCTCTGTATGTTTTCCAGCACGGTCAGTAAATAGATCCCACGGTCAGTAAATTGTTCCCACGGTCAATAAATTGTTCCCATGGTTAGTAAATAGTTCCCACAGTCAGTAAATTGTTCCCATGGTCAGTAAATTGTTCCCACAGTCAGTAAATTGTTTATGTCCACTTTGTAATACTGTGACCAAAATGGCACAGCATAATCTAAATGAGGCCTTACCAAGGATATATGAAGTTGAAGTATAACCTTAGGAACCCTATTATTTATACCTCTTGATATGAAGCCAAGAATTTTATTAGCTTTACTGCTAACACTTATGCACTGTCATCTTAGCTTTAGATTTCTGATAACCAGAACTCCGAAATCTTTTTCAGATACAGAGTGAATGAGATCTGCAATTCTACATTAATCAGATTATAACTGTTATGGTTATTCTCTTTGCCTACGTTATACTGCATCTGACACTTCTCCAACCACTGCATCAACCTATCCATATCTTCCTCTAGTGCTCTAGTGTCCTCATCAGAATTCATGATGGATTATTTAGTATCATCGTTAAACTTTTTTTTTTTTAACAGGTCGGCCGTCTCCCGCCGAGGCAGGGTGACCCAAATAGAAAAAAATCCCCAAAAAGAAAATACTTCCATCATCCAACACTTTCACCTCACTCATACATAATCACTGTCTTTGCAGAGGTGCCCAGATACAACAGTTTAGAAGCATATATAAAGTATATAACATACCCCTCCAAACTGCCAATATCCCATACTCTTCCTTTGTTTTTGTTGCTATTTATTCCCTCATCTACACCATTTATGTAGTATACTGTGAACAAAGGGCCTGGCACTGACCCCTGTGGAACACCATTTGTGATATGTCCCCACTCCGATTTCTCCCCATTTATGCATACTCTCTGTTGCCTAACTGTCAACCACATCTTAGTCCAGGAAAAATTTCTCTTCTTATTCTGTGTGCCTCTACTTTGCTCAACAATCTCCTGTGTGGAACTATCAAAGGCCTTACTAAATTCCACATACACATTATCATATTCATTACCATGACCCTTTCTTTTTTTTTTCAATGAACTGGCCAAGGCAAGGTGGCCTATAAAGAAAAATGAAAGTTTTTCTTTTTAAACTTAGTAATTTATACAGGAGAAGGGGTTACTAGCCCCTTGCTCCTGGCATTTTAGTCGCCTCTTAGGATACGCATGGCTTACGGAGGAAGAGTTTTGTTCCACTTCCCCATGGAGTATTACCATGACCTACCTTAGTGGAAAAGATTTGTAAATTCATGAGGCAAGAACACCCCTTCGTAAAACTGTGCCAGCAGTAGCCTCCTAGCATTCTCCCAGCATCCTCCTCCCAGCAGTCTCACAGCATTCTCCTCCTAGCATTCTCCCAGCAGCATCCTCCTAGCATTCTCCCAGCAGCATCCTCCTAGCATTCTCCCAGCAGCATCTGTCATGACTTCCCCTCTCCTAGGCGCGGCTTATTTGTGTGCAATTCTTGGTGCATTTCTAAAATGAACATTACTTAAGTGCTTCATCCGAGTTTCACTGATCAATTTATGTCTTACAAGACGATTTCAAATAGCCTCATCAGCAGTTATTAATTCCATCAATTTTCCCACAATGTAGGTTAGGCTAAGGACCTGTCTCCTGCTTTACCATTTTCCACTACTATGGCACTAAACTAGTTAAGATAAGATAAGATAAGATTTCGTTCGGATTTTTAACCCCGGAGGGTTAGCCACCCAGGATAACCCAAGAAAGTCAGTGCGTCATCGAGGACTGTCTAACTTATTTCCATTGGGGTCCTTAATCTTGTCCCCCAGGATGCGACCCACACCAGTCGACTAACACCCAGGTACCTATTTGCTGCTAGGTGAACAGGACAACAGGTGTAAAGAAATGTGTCGAAATGTTTCCACCCACCGGGAATCGAACCCGGGCCCTCCGTGTGTGAAGCGGGAGCTTTAGCCACCAGGCCACCGGGCCACCTAGTTTGTAGTGATATGCTGAAAAGACTAACTACTGGTTTGCTAAACCCCTCCTCAAATTCCTTTATAACCCTTGAGAACATTTTATCATGTCCTGGTGACTTGTTTGGTCTTAATTTATCCATTTCTCTGAGAGCCATGTCATTAGTAACTTTGATCATGAACAGCTTATTTTTTGTCCTCGCCTACAACTTTTTATTTCTAGAATTTCACTAGTATCTTCCAGTGAAAAAATTGAGAGGAAATGTGTTGAAGATTGTACACATTTTTTTGTCACTGACAGTAAGCAAATCTGAGCAACCTTTAAGTGGGCCTAACTTCTCCCTAATATTAGCTTACTCCTTTTGGGTTAGGCTTCAATTCCTTTGTGACTTTTGTAATTTCTGTTGCTTTTCTTATTCCTTTCATGATTTCTTTCTTTAACTTAATACAGTGGACCCCCGGTTAATGATATTTTTTCATTCCAGAAGTATGTTCAGGTGCCAATACTGACCGAATTTGTTCCCATAAGGAATATTATTAAGTAGATTAGTCCATTTCAGGCCCCCAAACATACACGTACAAACGCACTTACATAAATACACTTACATAATTGGTCGCATTGGAAGGTGATCGTTAAGCGGGGGTCCACTGTATAGTGATTCCTTAAGTGTCCTACTCCTCTTCAGACTTGCCTTTAAATGCCTCTCTTTTGATCTATGAGACATTTTAATCTATCGTTTAACCATTTAGGGTCATTTTTCTTTGATCTAATTTCCCTAATTGGAACATATGTTGCCTGTGCAGCTTGCATTATGCAAGACTTTCTGTCAAATTGCTCCAATCAATTTGGCTAAAGTTAAAATCTCCCACCAACACAACATTTTCATATCTAGATGCATTAGTAATTTCATCCAACAGAAGTTTACTGAGTTCCCTATCAATATTTGGGGGCCTATAAATCACACCTAAGATTAGTTTTTCATGTCCTTGGAGAAACTGTAGCCAAACAGATTCAGTGTCCATTGCTTCCTCTTTTATATCTTGTCTAATGCAACATTTTAAATTAACTCTGCCATACACTGCCACTCCACCACCCTTTTTGCTGACCCTATCAATGTGGAATAATGTTATAGCCTTGAACCAAGTCTCTGTTACAGCAGTAACATCTATGCTTCCTGCACATGCAATTAATCCTGGCTCATTTATCTTATTTCTTACACTCCTATTATTAGTATAATAAACCTTAAGGGAGTTAGTCACTCACTGCCCTCTACTGTCTCTTGTTGACTGGTTCCTCTGCTTTATTAGCAACTATATGACGAACAATGTCCTTCGAGTATTTCCCAGACATAACTTGGCAATTTCTGCTGTTGTCATCATTTTCCACAGACATCTATATAATTCAGCAACAGCCCCCTTGACAGAGCTGGCTAATGCTACCACCCTTGCCCCAGAAAGATGAGCTCCATCTCTTGAATACATATCATGTTTGCCATAGAAATTGTCCAAATTGTTAATGAGTGGGATTGCAAGTTCTTTGCAGTACTTGTCTAGCCAGCAATTTATACCAGTTGCCCTAGACATCCATTCATTGTCAATTTCTCTTCTAGGCAAAATGCTACACATTATCAGGACCCCTCCAATGGACCTAATTAGATCTTCTCAATATCATTTCCACCAGCACTGAAGCAGATAATGGGCTTGTTCCCATTACTTGATGTGATACTACCCAACCTCTTGATTATGTCACCAACATCAGCTCCAGGGAAACACACTCTTTGTCTCACTTTCCTGTCTTCACAGTGTCTTGGCTATTACTGTCATATGTCCAACACATGTCTTCACAGTGTCTGAGCTACCACTGTCATACATCTAAAATACGCCTTCTCTTTGTTTTGACTACCAATGTCATAAAATCCAACATACAATATCTTCACCGTGTCTGGACTACCACTGTCAAACATCCATATCTTCACAGTATCTGGGCTACAATTGAAACACATTTAACAAACCTGATTGCATAAGAATACTGAAAATACAGGATGTGCTCACCTCTACCAGATGGGACTGGTAATGTGAAGCCTGGTATATGAAAGAGGGACCCAACAGATGCAGAAGATGGTTTTAGTTCTATATAGCCACAATAAGATAACGATGAGACTAATAAGACAAGATTTCTTAAAGCTTCACGGCTCTCATCCGAAGTGTCAGCCTCCAATCTAAAGTGGAAAAAACTTCATTATTAGATCCATTTTGATTTTTACCAATTTCATTTATTAAATTGCCTACATTGTGTATATCAGGTGGGGATGTAGCAGATTTATAGATTAATGAATGATGAGTGCCATTTTCAAAAGAAAGCCGATTTTTTTTTTTTTTTGGGGGGGGGGGGGGGGGGAGGTAATTACCCTACCTTGTTTGGGAGCATCCAATATATAAGAAATACAGTATACTGTACAGAGTATCATAATCAAAATAACAGCCAGCTTATATTCAGAGAATGCCAATTAATGAACAAGATGCATTCCAGAAAATTGTTTCTTACTCAACTGTCCAGCGCTCAAATTCTATTTTCTCAAAGAAATTCAAATTACAATCGAAGATGTACTTGAAAACAACATTTCACACCTAAATTTAAAATTTTCAATCTAAATTAAAATGCACTAACCTGAGATGGTTTCCTCTCTCTATCCCTACCATCTCTTTCTCCTCCACTTTTCCCTCCCATTTAACTGTACATTTTTTGAACATTTTTTATTTTTCTCTATCCAGCAGTACCAATCTATTTACAGAAGACTTTCTTGTATCATTTTGGCACTTCTTAGTTTATAGCTATAATGTTCTTCCAGCTGACTAGTGAAAAGTCTTCCTTACCAATTCAATTCATTCAGAAAGGGGGGATGGTACAGGAGGGACAGATGGGCAGCAAAATGGGACATACCAATCCAAGCATCAGCCCATAGGACCAAATAAACAATCATGTGCAAAGTCAGTACATTGGTACCCCGAGTTTCATACAGCTCCCAATTCAAACAATTGTGTAAGTGTATTATTGTAAATGCTTTTGTAAGTGTATTTTTGGGGGTCTGAAACGGACTAATCTAATTTACATTATTCCTCATGGGAACAAATTAATTTGGTAGCGGCACTCAAACAGCCTTCTGGAACGAATTACGGCCAAAACTCGGGGTACCGCTGTACTGGAAAATCCATGGGTATGTACACCAGGGGCATACCAGGTAGTACATCACCAGTGGTACTAACGAAACACAAAGCAAAACAAAACATCCCAAATGGTAATTCCTGCTTCACATTTGCAAATATTCAGGGTCTGAAATCAAATAAAAACGACAAAGTTAGTTATAGCAGTGGGCTCCTATCAGAAGAGAATGCCATGTTTGGGGCATTTACAGAAAAACACACAAGGGACGTTTTGAATGGAGAAATAAAGATAGAAAACTATAACATGTATAGATGTGATAGAATCAATAGGTCACAGGGCAAAGTAGGACTCGACGTAAAAGATACTTTCTGTTGCACAGAACTGCTGAACTCTACGAATGATATAGCAGAAATCCTAGGAATTAAAGTTGAAAACAGGAATTTGGTAATTATCCTAGTATACAAGCCATCAGCAACTGCTCAGGAATTCACATATGAATTAAGGAAGAAAGAGGGCTACCTGGATAGGTTAGAAAATCCCAAATATTTTATTCCTTGGAGATTTTAATCTCCCTCATGTAAAATGGAAGATGGTGCAACACAATGTTATACCACAAATATCTCTGGGAAGCACCCTGGCTCAACAGGCACATACCAGGGAACTAATGAGGCTTTGTGAAAAGTACTCACTGAACCAACAGATAATTGATCCCGCTAGAAATGAAAATACCCTGGATTTGATAGTCACAAACAACGAGGAACTGATCAGAGACATAACAGTAACAATAACAATATATGTACTCTGATCACAACATCATAGAAGTACAAATGAGTATTAACTCAGGGTTAGGGAACGGCATAACTAATGTTAGAGATGGGATGTTCAGTAAGTTTAATTTTAACAATAATAGAATTGACTGGAAAAAAATAAACCAAGAGCTATCAGACAAATCCTGGGAATCAGACATGAGTGCACTAAATCCCCAACAGTGCCTAGAGAAGTTGAATACAGAAGCATACAAGGTATGTATGAAGCACATACCATTGAGGAAACCCAGAAGAAGATCAGATATAGAGAGAGAGCGTAGAAGATGGTACAGAAGAAGAAAATGGGTTACTGAATTGCTTAAAAACACAAATATGCTACAACAGAGGAAAGATGGACTTAGCAGAGAGAGCACTGAATTAGAGCACAAACTTAGGATGTCATACCTCACAGAAGTACAAAGGGAACAAAGGGCCATACAGGATTTTGCAAGAAACCCAAAATATTTCTATTCCTATGCAAAATCCAAGCTAAGAACTACTTGTAGATTTGGACCATTATTGAGAGGAGACTCGTATACTGACGATGAACAGGAAATGAGTGAAATCCTAAAAGAACAGTATGAGTCAGTGTTCAGCAACCCACTAAATGACAGCAAGGTAGAAAATACAGAAATATTTTTCACTCCAGCAGGCGGCCATGCAGACCAATTAACTTACATTAGTACCAATCCCAGAGATTTTGAAAAAGAAATGGACAACATGCCCACTCACTCAGCACCTGGTCCAGATTCATGGAATGATCCATTTATAAAGAAGTGCAAAGTACCACAAGCACGAGCCCTCAGTATTCACTGGAAAAAGAGCTTACATCTAGGTGAAATACCGGAGGCCTTAAAGGGTGCAGACATAGCTCCTTTGCATAAGGGAGGTAGCAGAGCACTAGCTAAAAATTACAGACCAGTAGCCCTAACTTCTCACATCATAAAAATCTTTGTAAGAGTGATGAGACGGTAGATTACAAATTTCATGGACCAGCGCAACCAGCATAACCTGAACCAACATGGTTTTAGAGTAGGGCGACCATGCCTATCACAGCTGCTGAACCATTATGACTGAATTACAGAGGCATAGGAAGATGATCAAAACGCAGATGTGATTTACACAGATTTTGCAAAGGCATTTGACAAATGCAATCATGGAGTAATAGCGCACAAAATGAGGGCCATGGGCATTACAGGGAAGGTAGGCAGATGGATTTTCGGTTTCCTAACACAGAGAACACAAAAAGTAGTAAACAGAGCAAGATCCAGCCTCAGCGAGGTCAAAAGCTCAAGTGCCCCAAAGCACTGTCCTGGCACCTCTGCTGTTTCTCATCTTCATAGCAGACATAGATAAAAACACCCATCACACTAAATCACTACAGTAGAGGACACTGAAAAATTACAGAAAGACATAAGCAGGGTTTTCCAGTGGGCAAAAGAGAACATGACATTCAATGGTCATAAGTTCCAGCTGCTTAGGTATGGAAAGAATGAAAAATTCAAAAGGAACGTTATATACAAAACTCAAGAGGTCACCAAACAGAATGAAAGGAACATGTACAAGACCTGGAAATAATTATGTCAGCTGACCTTTCTTTTAAGGAACATGACAAGACAAAGATCACGACAACCAGGAAGATGATGGGGTGGGTATTGAGAACTTTCAAAACAAGGGAAATAATGCCGATGGTGACACTCTTCAAATTGCTAGTGCTCCCTCACTTAGAATATTGCTTAGTGCTGATGGCCTGGTTCAAAGCAGGAGAAATATCAAAGCTGGAACAAATACAGAGATCATTTACAGCTCACACTGAGCCAGTAAAGCACCTATATTACTGGGAATTATAGGTAGTAGGTTGGTAGACAGCAACCACCCAGGGAGGTACTACCATCCTGCCAAGTGAGTGTAAAACGAAAGCCTGTAATTGTTTTACATGATGGTAGGATTGCTGGTGTCCATTTTTCTGTCTCATAAACATGCAAGGTTTCAGGTACAGCTTGCTACTTCTACTTACACTTAGGTCACACTACACATACCTGTACAAGCATATATATACACACCCCTCTGGGTTTTCTTCTATTTTCTTACTAGTTCTTGTTCTTGTTTATTTCCTCTTATCTCCATGGGGAAGTGGAACAGAATTCTTCTTTCATAAGCTATGCGTGTTGTAAGAGGCAACTAAAATGCCAGGAGCAAGGGACTAGTAACCCCTTCTGTATAAATTAGTAAATTTTAAGAGAGAAACTTTCATTTTTCTTTTTGGGCCACCCTGCCTCAGTGGGATACGGCCGGTTTGTTGAAAGAAAGATTACTGGGAATGCCTTCAAGCCTTGAACATGTACTCATTGGAGCTGAGGAGAGAGAGATACATGATAATATATACATGTACCTGGAAAATACTCGAGAGCCTGGTCCCAAATCTGCACACTGCCATAACAACATACTGGAGTGAGAGATATAGGAGGAAGTATCAAATAAATCCAGTGAGGAACAGGGGTGCAGTGGGAACAATAAGGGAACACTGTATCAACATCCGGGGTCCCAGACTATTCATCATCTTACCAGAAGATATCAGAAACATGGCTGGAACAAGTGTAGAAGCCTTCAAGAGGAAACCAGACAAGTATCTTCACCAGATGCCAGATCAACCAGGCTGTGATGGATATGTGGGGTAGCAGGCCTCCAGCAGCAACAGCCTGGTTGATGAAGCAAGCACCAGATGAGCCTGACTCATGGTCGGACTCCAAGAGAAGTTAAACTCTCGCAACTCTTCAAAGGTACAGTGGACCCCCGCTTAACGATCACCTCCAAATGCGACCAATTATGTAAGTGTATTTATGTAAGTGCGTTTGTACGTGTATGTTTGGGGGTCTGAAATGGACTAATCTACTTCACAATATTCCTTATGGGGAAAAATTCGGTCAGTACTGGCACCTGAATGAAAAAAGTTCGTTAACCGAGGGTCCACTGTATATCTAAGGTATCCCTTTATAAGCTTAAAGTGTTTATCATGGGTCTTCTTCCTATTGGCCAAGGTTTACATATCTCTTATTACATTAAGATTTCTTCATAACATATATTTTAGCTCTAAGAACCATTATGAAGATGAGCTTGTCTTTAAGGTGCAAACACAATACCACTGTTGTATATTCCAATTGAGTTCTAACAGGAATTTCTCAGTGCTGTATATGATTTATTTGGTTTTACTGTAAAAGCTATTTGTCTACAGACACACATTTTTTTTTTT